AGAGCAAAAGAAATGATACAATGAAGTCAAAAGTTGCTAAACAAATATATATGCGCTCCTCAAGATATACGCCACAATCCCTACAACGAGCTGTGAATGTGAAAGAACTGCGACTTCTTTAAGGCGGCTGCATACATATAACAGGGCATGCATAGGCCAGGAAAGGCTGTCGTTCCTCGCACTAATGCACATACATTATCAAGTTCAGTAAAATTGTTTTGGATGAGGTGCTAAATCTGTTTGCCACCAAACACCCACGGAGGCTGGAGCTCGGGACTATTCAGAGGGATTAATTCCGCAGTATTTTGATGTATCATTTTACATCGTAAATGTATTTCGGTAATTATAATGTATTTCGGTAGTTTAGTCCACTTTGGCCTCGTTACTTCCCCCCCTCCCCCCTCCCTCATAAAATCCTGCTTCCGGGCCTGCCGCCATTTTCATTTTCCCCTTAATCATCGTTGTATCCGTAGTTTATTTGCTGCTCAGGTGTTTGTATCGTCGTTGCTTCAGGAAGAAGTCGATTAAAGAAAAATCGTTCTAGAGCCGTATCTTGAAACTTATGACTGTTGACTTTGTTCATGCTTGTGATCAGTGCTTTTACAAATTCGTGCATTTTAATAAAGACCATGAATTTTTTCTAAATAATTCAGTTTCCTGCTATCTTTGGAAAAACCCTTCCAATGCTATTGTATCCGGGGGACGTACCTGTCCATTTTCTTTTCGCAAGTATAGATTCGCGGAGAGTGCTTCTTAGTAAGAGGCTTACGGGACTGTGCCGCCGGATGGGGTCGCATTTTTACAACGATGAGGTTGCCTTTTCAATAGAGTTGATATAATAATGTCCCATCTAATGTCATTTTCCGGATTCTGGGAGTAAAAAAATTCTGTTGGGCAGGAATTTAAAAATGGTAAGATTCGCGGTTAAAAAAGTGTTGTTATATTGTATTATTATACTAGGCTACTAGCACTGCCCCTATTGTTTTTCACAATTGTGCTCAAAATTATGCTCGTTTTTTGGAAGTTATGACACTTTTAGAATATTTTCTCTAAAAGAAACTCTAAGCAAGTCCAAAGTATATATTTATTGTTCACAGAATACGACTTTTTTTATTTTCTTTTGAGTTAGAGACTTACTACTGCTACTTTGCTGCCTGTGAAAGCGAGAACTGGGACCCATACAATCGTTACGTCCGATGTGGGGTCCAGACATTTAAACACCGAACGACGCAGCTGCAGAACCATCATAGTCACCAGCTCAGACGATTCGTACACAGTTTTTAAAAGTCCGTCAATATTCATACCCGACCCGCTGGCCGATTTTTAGCCGTCCCAATATTCCTTTATGCAAAATAGCCTACGCACGAGTGCGTGAACGGATACACGTTGGTAGAGTCAAGCAAGTAAGATTGAAAAAAAAAACCGTAGTGTATACTTGTGACCTTCTTAACAAAAACAACTAAATTATTACCTATATATGAAAGGAAAGTGTGATATTTTTAAGAGTACAGTTAAATGTTTATACTTATATCTTTTATAACAGATTATTATCATTCCAATACTGTGTCATTTTATCAAATATGGTCACGAGAACGCACAAAACATGCCACGGTTTTACACCGTAGATTAGGGAAAAATACGGAGCAACAAAAATGGCCGCTGCATTCGATTTGATTAAACGATTCGCGCGACAGATTTTTTGTTGGTTACTAAGCACACTTTAATGGTTTCGTTCGTGTTGTTCTCGTCTTCCGCCATCGATACGATCGACAGATAAGGCCGTAGGATGTATTCGCAAACTAAAATCAAAATATCCAGGCGTATAAATGTTAAAACATCGAAGAACGTGTATTTAGTGCCTCACGTCTTTCTTATCACTCCCAGGTTACCCTTTTTCGGTTCCAGGCCTTATATTTGCTGCTCACGTATCAAAACGGACGCTACATAAACAAACTGTATTTAACGCAGGTGATACTCCTATTTAAAATAAGAACCGACCTCACCTCAAACAACCGTAAAATGGAAAACACACCTTATAAGTATGGAGACAAAACGACTCAAATGAATGGGTGCGAGTGGTTCTAGCTGGGCACAGATCGACTGGGTACGAAACGACTGGTAACCAAAAGAGGATTGGTTCAGTTGCTTCACCTGAAAGAAAAATTTAGGTTCGATCCAATAAAGGAGATTTTTATGTTGTTTGCCATTAGTGGGGACTCCTTGTACTAAAGATCTCAGTGTAATAGAGGTTCGTGAATCAAGTTCTCCACTTATAAACAGGGTAAGTACATTGGTAGAAAGCCTAACGCTCGAAATTTCAGCTGTAAGAACTCCTTACGGTGGCTAATTAACAATTATTCCACGAGCGCGCATTGGATATGAGATGATAGATAGCCAACGAGGCCCGTAGCGCCGAGTTGGCTATAATCATCTGATAAAACCAAACTATCTTGACACACATGGCATAGATACCCTATTCCTAATGAGCGTTCCATGGTTTTCGATGTACAACTCTTCATTTAAAAGCACACCGAAAAACAAAATAATTATAAAGATCACGACCTTAATCCAAGAGATGGAAATATTGCTTTTCTTCCTAAAGCCAAACAGAGGGAAGGATCCCGGGATAATTTTTCAGATTGCTCCATCAGTATTCTTGTTAACCGCTTCCTGCTAAAGTTTGCCATTTTTCACATGATTTCCTGATTATACCCAAACAATCATGGTGCAAGTCGCGCAAGTGGAAATAGTGCTGTTAAAACCTAACTTCGACCGAAAGAAATAGGGATACTCGGATTACCAGTGATCCGAGAAACTCTTCCAGAGTGGCTAAATCGTTATTGGAATCCTATAAATTGATGTTTGTAATAACTCTCACGATTGCAACACTTACTGCAATGAATTCTGGTTCTTATTGACTATTTTTAATAATTTTTACTCGGTGCGACTCGGGAAGTTTGAAGAGCAATAGGGAACGGCGTAAGAGTTGCGTAGGATCGAGTTATGGATTCACGAAAGAAGCGTAAGAGTTGCTTGGCTACGCCTCAAACTAATAATTGGTTCCTGCTTAGCTACATGTATCGAGTAATGGCGGCAGGCGGGAAGTTATGGATGCACGAAAGAAGCGTAAGAGTTGCTTTCGGCTACGCCTCGAGCAATCTTCTTAATTTATGAGTTTTTATATCGTTTCAAGAAAAACAGTCATACTAAGGAACAGGTAATTATTTTTTAAAAAAGGAACAGACGACAATTTTAACGATACGTGGGTAATGACGATATCGCTTATCTCTGTAGTTTAATTTCTTCTTTTTATAGCCTCACGTGCAACTGGTTAGTGTGTGGTTTATTAGTGTTCACAGTTTTCTGAGTCAAACAGTGAATACAATAGTGCACTAATGAGGGAATTAATACTAAAAAAATCGAATTAAAACACCAAACCTTCGCAGTTAAACTTAAATCGAAATATTTTTCTGCATCAAATTAAGTAAATTGCTTAAAAGTGCATTTTCCAAAAGAAACTCTCGAAGGAACAAATGTAGTCATTCAGTACTTTTTGATGTTTTTTGGTTATTATGAAACCTACGACCGTTTGTTCTCAAGTAAAGGACTCCTTAATGAAAGGTAATAAATCGGAGGGAAAGGAATAACATCATGCCAAAGTGATAATAAACTGAATCATGAAAATAAAAGGGAACATGAAAAGGAGACCATAAATATACGAAACTGAGTTTCGACATTAATGACATCTCTGTCTGGGTCAGATAAATTCAGTGCTAAAAAATTGGAGCATTATGTCGTTGAACGGCACCGCTGAAAACAATGAAATATGCCCAAAAATATGCTCAAAATTTATCTTTATGCTCAACCCATTTAATGATTCAATAAAATAGCTACGAGAGTCACTTACCATAAATATCGAGAATTCGCCGACAGTTGCAAAATTTCATAGTTCCTTTTTTCTTTCCAAAGGACCGTTTTGATGAACCTTTTTCAAAAATTATATCTAAAAGTTCTGTTCACACACTTTGCTTTCTCGGTAAAATCGACAAGTTCAAAATACGCTTAGATGACAGTTGTCCCCCCCCCCCTCCCCCAGTCAGCGGATTCTCGATATTTACTGAGATATTTACAGATATTTATATCTCAAGAACCTCTCAGCTGCCTCCAACACTTTCAACAGGTAAAACTTGCCACGAATAAAAAGGCTTACCGCAGTTCACTGCACAACACTTTACTGGATCAAATTACTGAAGTGCGTTCAAGAACAGCACGCTCACCGTTAACATTACTCAGGCTACAGAATTTACCTTTTGTTGAACTGTAACATCAAGGGAATTTTTACGAAATTTAGTCATTATGCCGCCGGGATTACGTTCGATGCTCTGACTACTGCATTATGCCCAAAGTTATACCGGTACAGTTTATCTGACCCTAATCTCTACATCACAGATGCGACTTTCTCGAACCTAAAACGAGCTGTTTCTGGCATAATGTTTAAACCGCGCACCTTGCATGAAAGTGTTTCTTAAATATGCAAATTAGCGAGCTTTAATGGGCGGGCCACGTTAAGGAGCTTTAAGTGAGCGTTAGTAGATTTGACACCTTGTTGCTAAAAGTGACTTTAGAGATGTTGGACTAAAGTTGAGCAATTTTTTAAAGTGCACTGTATTTTGAGGCTGGAAGTAAAACGAAACTAGCTACTAATGTCGTTAATAGTAATACATTTCAAAATTCTAAAAATTAAGGTTTGATTCCAGTTTCAAAACACATTACTAAAAAAAGAATTATTTCAATTCTATGACGCTCTTGACCTTAAGTGTCGTAAAAAAAACTACCAATAGGAAGCCATTTCCTCAGCACATTCCACAACAGAGACTGTGACTCACTATGTTACAAAATGGCCATTTTTTCCTGAGGCGAAGGAAGTTTTAATTACCAATCTAATTTCGAGTTTTATTTTTACTGCTTATTTGGGCTATTCGACAAGCAAAACATTACAAAATTCGCCACGTCCAGTAGCTGGTTTCAATTTCTTGAAGTCTTCATATCCAGAAAATATCAGAGTGGATTTTTGCAAGGTGGGAAACAAACGTTTACTGATCATATTGTAATCATCCCAAGGAGAGACGGGGAGAGGAATTGCTTAGGGAGGCTAAAAAACAGTCAAAAGGCGTTAAAAAGGAGGGAGAAAAATTGATTTCCAAAGAAGAAGATGGAATATCAAACATGTTGCCATGAATCCATTCAATTTTTAACTAAGCATTTCTTTCCCTTTCTTTGATTCAGCTCTAATTTATTTGCCTTTCACAGGTTTCCACCCCGCTTCCCACAATTTCATTTCGATTTGAAATGCCAAACGAAAAATTTAACCTCTTATCAATCAATGAATCCAAATGATAAAAAAAATATCATGGCATCCTTTAATGAACGTTAGCCATCTATCAGTTATGAATTGATTTTGTGAAAGATTTATAAACAAAGAGTTGTTTAGGTGAGGTTTAATTCGTCGATGGTCCCTCTCCATTAGATTCACGTTATGGCTAGACCGAATTTAAAAACATAGGTAGACTTCCAGGTAGAGTGAGTACGTGTACTAACAGCCAACGATTTATTATCTTAATTCTGCAGGTAAAACGAGATGGTACGACTTTGCATGCAGGCTTGTGTTCTGAGTTCAATGCTGTTAGCCGTTTCGGCGGGTAAGAATAACTATTATTATTATTATTACTATGCAGCAAATCAAATCTCGTAATTTCAAAATTACTGCTCTATCATGAACCGCGACATGACAATGTATTCGAAAAGTGCTCTGAATTAAGCTCTTCAAAATAAACTACATTTGTCTTTCGTACAACAAATTTTCAGTACGTTGTAAGATATTGAGATAAACTTGAAACCAATTTCTTCTACCCATGAGGAACTACAGCTTAGCGAACGTAGTTAGAGCAACATATTTCTTGGCTGCCAGTTAAAAGGTTTTTCCATTCAGTTCGGAAATGGCTCCTTAGAATATTTCACCACGCGAAATGCAACATTTGTACAACAGTATAACAAGAGCTACTTTTTAACAGAGAAGATGTGTTTCGAGGGAAAAAGCCAAGATATATTATCCCTTTAGGGGACAGTCATTTTTTAATGCCTGGTGGGTGGGGAGACGAGAGAGAGGTCGAAGGATTTTAGGCAGGATTCACCAGGTTTTCAGGGGGGAAGACAGTGGCGGGATCAGTTGTCGTTATGTGAATATAAAGGGGTGACTAAAGAATATTGACTGCCAACGAAGGGGGAAAGGGGTCATTAGAATACAGAGACTTAAGAGAGGGATTAGTCAAAAACATTTTCCTGTGACGCAACCAAAATCCTCCAACCACCCCCCAACCAAAATCCTCCGACCCCTCCGACCCCCAGGTGATAAATGGTAATCAGTTCCTTACTTGCCCCGATCTTCTGTTGTCCTTTTGCTTTGCTAACAATGACGTTTATGTTATTTTAACTAATTTCAGTATAACGGTTCGTCCAACTTTGTCGTGCGTGTCATTCAACCAAACATCGGCGGCTTTTTGCTTATTGCCTTTACCCCACCCCCCAAGGGATGACAAGCATGTAATTCTCAATATCACCCCTGAATCACACATCAAGGGCGCGCTAATAAAATGAATGATCACCAACTCAAATTCTCCTTGTTAGCACCCTAGAATATGTACAGAGAACAGTATGGAGAACATGCATACTGATCTTAGGATACAAGATGTTAAAACAATGCCTCGTAATTCTTCTCAGCGTCTGGCTGCACCATTGACCTTGGTTTGATTGTGGATGTCACCCGGAGTATCAAAAAAGAAAACGTCTTTACTGTAAAAGCGGGATTGGCCAAACTGGTGCAACAGATTGGCGTGTCAGAAGATGGCACACACGTATCATTGGAAACATTTGATAGTAAAAGCACCATCCATAACTATTTCAAAGACACCTACCACCACAATGAAGAAGCTGTTCTTCATCTGATAGACCATGCTATCGACAAACTGTCTAAGCCAACTCGACTGGACCTTGCTTTGAAAAAAGCTGATGAAGAAATGTTTACCAAGGCGAGTGGAGATAGGGCTGGAGTGGAGAGCGCAATGGTTCTGTTCACAGATGGTAGATCACATCCCTCTCAGACTGAAACTGATGCTTACAGAACAAGGGTGGAAAATATGAAGGTAAGGCAACACTGAGGGGCTTGTCATTATTTATCGCCTGAAGGAGGAGGGGGGTGTTGGAGAATTTTTTTCGGGGGGGGTCAGTCGTCACAAACAGAATATGAAAGGGGACAGTAAAAATTTGACTGCCCATCAACTGCCAAGTAAAAGGGTGGGGCCATAAGAATATTAAAGAGTGTTATGCGAGATTCAGGAAAATTTTTTCTAGACACAAGTCACACAACCACCAACTGAAATTGAAAAGTGGAGATTGGTTTTAGCTTTGCATCTGAGGACTCGTGCAAGGTGCAGAAATGGGCTTATTTAAGCAAAAAGCCTGTGCACTGGCCTAGGCCTGACATTGACATTAATAAATTTTGAAGCGCCCCAGTAACCTTGTACACAGGTGCTACCGCTTGGCCTTGTAAGGTCTGGGAACGAGGCTACCGCCCTAGTTCCCGCACCCACAAGCTTTATTAGTTTTCAGGGCTTACTCGAGTGAGGTTCATAGGAAAAAATCCTAATTACCTCCTAAATTTAATGAATAACGTAGATAAAACGCAATTGATTGCCCGCGTAATTTGAACGGAAATTGATGCAGGCTTTCAAATAGAAGTATTCCGTATTTCATCAATACTCAGTCCAAACGAAACAGAAAAGCTACTCAGTATTTTACAATTTTTTGATCGTAGTTTAGAAAGGGGCAGCCTGGTATACGCGTAAACTTCATGACGGGGGGGGGGGCGCTTATGAGGAAAGGGACTTAGTAGACAAAGGGGCTAACTAGACTGAGAACAATAATCATTTGTATTTAATTTTGTAGAAAAGAGGTGTCCGTATGTTCGTTTTTGGAATTGGTCCGGATTCACGGAAGGAAAAACACCAGGAAGTTTTGAGGCTGATTGGAGGGGATACTGTGTTCTTCGTCCAAGATTACAGCAATCTCGATGAAGCGATAAAAAAACTCGCGGATTTGATGTGTCGTATGTACTCTGTGACTCTATGAATAACATCCTAGCCTGTATATGCTCATTATTGTGGACTGTCCAAATATCATAAAACGGTGTTTTCGACAGAAATCGAATGCACTTTTCCGATTTCTCTGTCTAAAACTAGGTATTGTAATAATCTGGTTTTGAAGATCAAAAACTCCGCCCTCGTGTAAACACTCAGCCAAATCGGAGAGGTAAGATAAAAAAGTGTGGACAGATCTAGTTCTCGGCCCAGTTATGATGTTAAACTCTACTCTCGGTCTCTTTAATCCTTTGTTCAAAAGTCTTTTTTAGGATAATATTCCCTACACTTTTTAGAGCATCCAGTCATCAAGTTGTAGACAAAAAGAATTCCACTTAATTTTCTTTTAAAGCTTTTAGATCTGAAATCAGATTTCACACTAACCCTCAGTTATCTTAACTCAGCTTTGAACAACGCGGCCCTGATCACACTTAAATATGTTAACGTAAACTGCCCACCGTAAAGAGTTTTTAAGCTACCGTTTCGAGTTTCAGCTTACAAACTCTTTACGGTGGCCAATTTACATTTATGAACTAGACATACCACCGACGCAGCCCCCTTTATTCGTATGAATATAAAAGTTGTTGTTACGTGTTTGTTGTTTGTTTGTTTGTTTGTTCCTCATTTATGTTTTTCATTCTCCTTTTCATGTCAAAAGCTTGCAAGAATTCTGAAGGAATGGACTTGGCCCTTGTGGTGGACAAGACAGCCAGCATTGGAACGGAAAACTTCTTGTTACTCAAAGGTTTTATCCTTGAGCTCGTCCAAGGACTGCCAATTGGGCCCGACCAGACCCACGCTGGAATTATTCTTTTTGCCAAAGAACCGACGTTGTTGAATACTTTTGCGGACAAAAGGTACCACAGCAACGAGGCGTTGTACAATCTTGTTGACCGCATCGATTCAAGATTGGGCACAAGAACGTTCATCGACAAGGCGCTGAAGGCAGCGAACACTTCACTGTTTACTACAAAGGGAGGTGATAGGTCTTATTTTCCAAACACGCTGATTCTCCTTACAGATGGAAGAACAAATAGAGCCTCGGAACCATACGCAAATATCATTCCTTCACTTAAGGTAGGACCCTTCCGTTACGCTTTTTCATGTTGCATTTCATTTAAGGCCGTTTTGTGTTACAGAAGGTGGACAATGTCTTTATTTGGCTATGGTGGTATCTCCCGAGTGAGGTAGTCCCAGTCCAAGAGACCAGTCATTACCGCCTGGGATGGGAGGGTCGGAGGATTTGGAGGGGATCCCATGGTGTGGTAACGGAAGGGAAACCGGTCGTCGTATAACTGAAGGGAGACTATTGAAGACTAATTGTCAATTATTTGCCAATGAGGAGGGACCGTGAGAATATTACAGGGCCTTTTGGGAGGATCAAGTTATTTTATAATGATACAATCAAAATCCTACCAAACCTAACCCCTCCCTCCCCCTCTGAACTCAGGAGATAAATAACGACCAGTCGCTTAGAGTTACCAAGAAATAGTCCCATTCATGCAGGATTTTCAGTACTGAATCAATAATGATTTTTTGCAGGCTAAAAACGTTAAAATTATCGCTGTTGGTATCGGAGATTATAGGAAGTTTCAGGGTCAACTGGAAGAAATTGCAGGAGACCTCGTTTTCAACGTCCAAGATTTTAGCAAAATATCCACTTTGTTCAACGGCATCATGTCTGAAATCTGCAGTAAGTATGAGATCTTATCATAACACTACTGAGGCGACAAAATCAAATTGTACTTAGAAAAAGACACCAGTCAATTAGTCGATGATGTACCTTGAACTTTGAACTTTATTTTTTATTTAGACACGGTAAATCTATCAGATAAAATAATAATATTATTACAATCTATTATTACAATTACAATCTACTTTAATCTATGTAAACATGATCTAAAATTTAAAAGTGAAATAGAAAAAAATAAAGAAATTCTGCTTTACATAGATGCCGTGTGCGTTTTGTCGATTCAGACGAAGAAATTGCGACAACCATTTCGAAAAGATTGAAGTGATTTTGCTTGCGGTCTTTGAACAACAACAAACATATGAAACATATGTGTGAACTGCGGTTATGAGACGTATATGAGAACGATCCTTCGCAGTAAAGCACTATTTGAGCAATAGTGAAAATCAGACCTGAAAAAAATTTTCAGGCCTGTAAAATTTTTTTCAGGTCTGATTTTCACTATTGCTCAAATAGTGCTTTACTGCGAAGGATCGTTCTCATATACGTCTCATAACCGCAGTTCACACATATGTTTCATATGTTTGTTGTTGTTCAAAGACATAATGTTAAGTAAACATGGTTATTGGAGTCTAAAAGATAGTGTACAGAAAGTTAAGTGCGCCGAACAGTTCTATTAACCACGGCTTTGTCTCCTCTTTTGTAGGGTGACTACTTGATGCAGTATTCAGCGGTTTACTTAGGAATTGAAAAACGAGATTTGTCAAGTAGAGTAATGTAATGGGCACCCAATAAATATGGCAATACGTAAAAAAATGTATTGAGAGGTTTTATCTCCTGAAAGGACCAGTCATCATTTATTTCCTTGAGGTGGGGGAGGGTGGGGGTGTTGGAAGATTTTGGGGAGAGTCAGTCGTTGCTAACAGAGTATAATGCGGAGTGGGGGGACTGTATAGAAAATTGATTCCCAATGGGTGGGGATCATTAGAGTACTACAGTACATTAGGTGGATCGGGTAAAATTTATTTTTGACACAAACAAAATGTTCCAACCCCCTACCCCCTCACCGCGATAAATTTTGGCCATTCCCTGAAATAAAAATCTTCTCCCAGTGCTCCATTTCTGTAAGAGCATAATTATTCACTTCCTAATTCCTTCCCTCAGCATACCGTACCGTGAGTTCAGTTCCCTGGACAATTTGTGGCTACAAATATTTTTGTACCTAGGAGGTGGAGAGGAGTACTTTAAGAGTAAAAAGTCATGTAAAGGAAAAAAAAAAAACAGTATTACGCGATGAGGGTTCATATCCAGATCTTTCGACCTAGATATAGATATCGGATATGTTTCATCTGAGCGAAAATGCTCAGAGAGGTTGTATAGAACTATTCAGTGTTCCCGATCCGTAGGCATACGGAATTACTTCCGTTCTTATTGTTCCCATAAAAAGACAGACACTGCTGATAGAGTTCATCAAAGTTTCAAATTCCCATGCGTTAACTTCACGTTCTCTATAACATGACGAGGTCATGTCACTTTTCTCGACATCAACCCTTTTCGGTACCACTCCCACACGGACGATAAGGCTACAGTATTACCGACCTCCTCTTTCAGGTTTAAACCGGTTACTGTAGAAACTGGAGAAGCTTTTTGACTCGGATTTCCGGTATAGATTAAACGATTGTTATTTTCTGTGACTTAGCTTTTAAGATAAAGCAAATATACCAGAATGAATGAGTTCCAAGTTACTTACGATTACGTTCTTTTGGTATGAAATCTCCAAAGGGGCGGACCTTGTAGGGGTAAACCTTCAAATATCAAGTTTGATGGAGCGATATCACGGCTGCTGAGTATACTGCGCAGCTTCTTGAAATTTTGATACCGGATTGAAACGTTGCTCTTTTTGTCAGATATTATCCAAGGGATTTTTCTCAGATTTTTCTAAGGGACTACTTCACCCTCCAACAAGACAAAGTCGAGCTTCTTTTTACAATATCAAGCAGAATTCCAGTGGGATAAGAGAAATGTAATTTAGGAGATTATCAGTTGATCCAAAACCGAATTCTCAGAACTGATATCTTACAAATTGTACGGCAGACGGTAAGGAGAATTGGGGATGAGATGTTAGGAATGAAAGGATTAAACTGGTGAACACTGCCATTCGATAGTGATGGCTGTTTAAACAATGGCTACTTACAGAATTTAAATGAAAACAAATGAAAATAAAACAAGGGGGCAGCTAACAGAGATTTGAATATGGAAATAATCAATAAAAGGTCAATAAACCAAACAATCAGTTATTGAACTGTCAGTTCGTCCATCTACAAAAAGAAAAAAAATTGGACATTGTCCAGCTCAGGGTAAACATCGCGTGTTTTACGCTCAGGCAAATCATTTCATTCTACGTGTTGGTATTTGGGCTGCTGACGTAAAATAGACTCAATTTACATTCCCCTGTGGAGAAACCGTTGAAGTAGATACATTTCCTGACCCAAGGACTCAGGCATTTTAGTCCTAACGAAGTCGGAACAGGCACAGCTAAACTGACGGCTAAAATGGTGAACCTTGGAGAGATTTTTCCTGATTTCCATGTGCGCACCAGTGAAGGGGAGCTTGACTTCCACAAATTTATTGAAGGATCGTAAGTAGAAATTTAAAAGAACTTATTTGCGCTCTGCAAACCTTTTTAAATTTCTTTCTCTCTGCAATGGTCCACAAGTCTTATGCCTTAGGTTATTCTGTTGCGTTTTATCCTTTGATCTAACGAAATCTATTCAGACGTTTCGTCTTGCGGAACTGATAGGATAATTTCAGTTGGCCATTAATGCTTAGTCGTTCATGATCTGTTGTTGGCTCCGGCACGCACCGCATCGAGTACGGATTTCATATGTCAGTTCGATCAAATTTATGTTCATTTCGACTTTTGCAACGAAGATGTCAGTGCATGCAAGAGAAATGTTTAAGAGAATTGATTTGAACTGTCTTGATGTACGGTCTTACAATCCTGGCTATAACGGGTTGTGTTACAGGGGTCGTGTTTCTTTAAAGAGGCTCTGTAACTTCAATTTCACCTTTTTCCTGATAGGAAGTATTTGCCTTATCAACGGGATTATTTCCCGGTAAACAAACGCCAACGTCAGTATGAGCCAGGCAGAAGCGAGTAGTGTTTAGGATAGAGAAAATCAATAAGGATTGTGAAATATAAATATGAAGAAAAATCAAATACTTACACAATGTTCTTAGCTCAATTAAAGCAAGCGATTAATCAAACACGTAGTGAATCATCAATTACCGACCCTTAGCCAATTTAGGGAAACAAAAGGTGACCTTTAAAGTGGATCAGGGTGAACGAAAAAAAAAAACGTGACCTTATCCATTAGGATAAAATCCGGGTTATATTTGTTCAAGGGAATGCATGTGTTTCTAGGTCCTCAACAATATTCAAAGATTTTAAATTGAGTCAAAAGCAGGGAGGGCGACCCACTGTTATTCTCTGTCGTGAGTTGTAAATAAACCTTGTTTACACAGACTCTGGCCTTCGAGAGACACATGATGGACCACTCAGGGACAGTGATTATTTTTTCGCCTGGGGGATGGAAGATTTTGGGGGGCTCACATCATTTTCAGGAGCGACGGAGGGAAAATCAACCGCTGCTAACAGAGTATAATGGCGGACTATAGAATATTGACTGTCAATTAACTACTAATGAGGGGAGGGGATATTGAAAATATTACAGAGCCTTATGAGGGGACTATAGAACAATGGCTGCCAATTAACTGCCAACGATGGGGAGAGGTGAGGGTCAGAAGAATCTTTCAAAGCGTAATAGAAAAATCATTGAATTATATCGTGGCACAACTAAAATTATTTGACCCC